ACTTAATGTTATTAAAGGTAAAAAAACAAATTGAAATTTATTAGATAATTATTAATTAAAAAATGTGACCACAAATTAAAAAATTAAAATGAATAAATTTGTAAATAAAATTAAAAAATTGTAATCCGTTAGCGGTTTGGTACAAAAAGTTACATAAACTAACTTTTTCAATCCACTAGCGGTTTGGATTATAACCGCTATCTACTAGTTTCAAACCGCTAAATAAAAATTTTACCAAATACTTTATTTATAACGGTTTCGAAATATATAAATTTACCAAACACCTATATTTAGCGGTTTAGGTAAGATCGCTAACCGCTACCCCAAACGGAGCCTTAATATATATATATATATATATATATATATATAAATTAAGCTCTTGCATGGTCAGGTTTAAAAATAAATATTTTTTTTTAAGTTTCTATTTAATATAATTATAGTTTTGAGTTTTTAAATTTAATTTTAAAAAAATTTATAAAACCTCAAATAAAATTAAATTGTGATATAAATTAATTAAATTTAGGGTTTTAAGTATTTATTTTAAAATTTTATACTCAATAAACTAGTAATTTTAATTTTTAATGTTAATTTTTAAATGTTAATTTTGATTGTTTAAATTTTAAAAACTAAATACTAAAAACCATTATTATGCAATTATTATAATTTTAATGTTGATTTAGTTTACTTGTGTAGGTAAATTTAGTTGACAATTATGAGAAATTACTTGCAATGTTTAGAATTGTTTGTTTTCAAATTTTTGCTACTCAATTGATGGAGTTTCTTGTGGAAGCATATATATTAATTTAATTTAGGTTAAAACTTCATTTTGGTCCCTAAACTATTGTATGGACCTCGATTTGGTCCCTAAATTAAAAAAATTCTTGATTTGGTCCCTACTGTTTACCATTTTGACCCTGATTTAGTCCTTCCATTAAAAATTTCATTATGTGTGCTGTTAATTGACTGTTATGAGATGACGTAGCAAAATATTAATACACGTGGCAAAAAAAATAATATAAAAATAATAAACCTTAAAAAATTCTTTCCTTTTTTTTTTTTTTTTTTCTTTTTCTTTTTC